CCAGAGAAGGAGGAAATGTTCAGGTCAGGTCTAGCCGCGGAGCTAGCTCTTTGCTGAAATGAACTTGGTGAGCAGGTAAAGACAATAAGGCAATGTTCGGAATACCCGGGGTATCGCTCACCTTGGGGTCTCCTGCGAAGCTGTAGGTAAGCCCACATCTTCGAGATGACGACACAGTGATGGGTACATCCGCCAGCACCCGGAATCGTCTTTGTCACATGCACGTCCCGCTGGTCTCGCCTCTGGACGAGGACATAGTCCATCAGATGCCAGTGTCGCGACTAAGGGTGTACCCAGGTGACATTCTTTCGTATCGGGAGGCGGAAGAAGGTGTTCATCAGGATGAGTGGTTATCCTGCGCAGGTTCGAAGAGTGAGCAGGCCATTGTCATTGGAGTCGTCGAGACAATGGGATCCAGCCCTCCTCTCCAGGCAGCATGGTCTGTGCCGACGCGGGCACTGAAGTCACCAAGGACAGTCAACTTATTCATATTTGACACAGTCGCCAGGAGGACGTGCAGGTCCTTGTAGAATTTGGCCCCTGCGGCGTCAGGGCTGGTCATCGGCGGAGCGTAAACGCTGATACTGGTTGCGAAGTTGCCTCCCTGAAGAGGCAGCGGAGGCTCTTCAGACGACCGTTGATGACCCGCGGTAGACAGGGCAGTCGTCCCACGATGTAGTTCTGGATGGCAAAGTCGAAAACCGCTTCTCATCGCTCTGCGCTTGGGCGACTGCTCCAGAAGGTGTAGCCGGCACCCAAATCCTCCGACTGACCTTGTTCGGAGAACCGGGTCTTGCTGAATGCGGCGATGTCCACCTTGTAGCGCGCTAGTTCCCGAGCCATTAGCGCCGTCCACCGTTCTGGGCGGTTGCTCCTAGGGTTGTCTAAAAGGGAACGAATGTTCCAGGTTGCCAGAGTGAGCGGACACATCCTACCAGTCCGGCGAGCGCGGCGGCGGAAAGGAGGAGAAGGGGGAGGAGAGGAATAAGATGAAACATGAGTAGAAGGAGAGAGAGAAAGTATTGTTGTTTTTGTTTAGATTTTGATTGTTTCGACCATGAGTTTAACGTCTGTGACCACGGTCAGCCTGCAGACGACGTGGTTCCCCAGCAATCTTTGGGGCACGTTTTCTGGTCCCTCCTCTTGCAGGCAAGCAGTGCCTCCCTTAATAGGGCCGCTCGAAAGTGCCAGGCGCTGCAGCACTCCACTGTGGGTCATGTCTTTGGTTAGTGGAAAAACGACCCGAATTAGCCTGAAAAGCTTACGTCATCACCGTAAGCTCGTGGCTTCCTGCGGTGCAGCAGACGAAGCCTCGTATCGACGTTGCCGATGCGAAGTTCCATCCGACGAACCGCCCAGCGGAGTCCCCAACAACGTGTATTCCGAGCACACACGAATATCAGTTTCGCAAGCCCAATAGCTAGTTCATCCGAAACCAGCGAAAGAAGTAAACTGGAGAAGAACGCTCAGTCACTCAAAAGATGTGCGACAACAACGAGCACTAGGTTCAGTCGCAAGCAAAATGTAGTTATAAAAGGAGTACCCGAATCAACGGCAACAATTTCAAAGGAGAGAGTTATGCCTGACTTAGAACTTCTTCAAGTGTATGCGAAAGCTTTGTTAAGAGACGATGAGTCACTTAGTGTTCTCAAAGCATTCCGAATAGGGAAGAGTCAGTCAGCATCCCGTTCCAATTACCGGCCTCGACCCCTAAAAGTCATTTTGGAGACTGAAGCACAGGCCCAGCTCCTGTTACAGAGAAAATCATCTCTGCGGGGTCAGCATCCTGAAGTTTTTATTCAGCCGGATTACGAGCCAAAAGAGCGAATGAAAATGAAAGAGCGGATGACGGAGCTGGAAAGGCGGAGAAGCAGTGGCGAAACACACCTACAAATCAAGAACGGACAAATAATTCAGGTCAAAAGGACATTTCTCTGGCCAAAGCCGCCATTCTGACAGCCTAACCGATGCAAAGGTGCCAACTCCTGAGGCTGCTCACACCAGTGGCCGCTGTCTAGAAATCTATTACACTAACTGTCAGAGTCTTCTCAACAAGCTAGATGAACTCATACTTGTAGTCTCTGGACAGAAGCCACACACAATTGTCCTAACAGAGACATGGTTGACTGGGCAAATAAGTAGTAGTGAAGTCAGTATTGAAGGCTACCAATTGTTCCCTTGCGAGAGATTTCAGCGTAGAGGAGGAGGCACAGCGATTTATGTGTCAAATGAAATTCCGTGCTGTCAGCGAGAAATATCCGATGGTGTGCCCCGAAATTTTGAAATAATTTCATACAAGATATGTATCAAAATTTACCGACACTGAACCTGTGTGTTGTCTATCGGCCTCCCAGCTCGAATGAACTCGCCGATATGGAATTACTTAGTGCACTGGAGTTGTTATGTAAGCGGGAGAACTTATTACTTCTGGGTGACCTTAGCGCTCAAGGAATAGACTGGAACATTCCCCTAACAAACGTCCCGTCCACGTCATGTGACCACAAGCTACTACGACTCTCCCTAAATGAATACCTCATTCAGCACATAAAATTCGTAACAAGAATGAGAGAAGGACAACGATCTAACTGTTTAGATCTAGTTTTCAGTAAAGAAGAAGGACTCATTAGGGAAGTGAATCCACAACCTCCACTCAGTTTAAGCGAGCATATTGCTTTAACCTGCGTGTGCTCTCTCCTATCCAACCAACAACCAAAAATCAAGACGCGCAGAAATATTTGGAAGGGTGACTTTAACGCAATGAGACGCACTATTTTGGAGGAAACCTGGTTGGTCAACACAGAAGATTCAGACGAATTCTGGCAGTACTTTCGCGGGATAATAGGGCGTCTACTTGACTCCAATTGCCCAATAAAAAGGACCAGACCATGTGCGCGACCGCCGTGGGTCGATCCGACGACAAAAAAGACCACGAAGAAGAAACAGCGACTCTGGAAAAAGCATTTGCAACTTCGAGATCCAAGATCATTCACCGAATATAAGGATCAGCGCAGTAAATGCCGCAAACAAATACGGGTTGCTAGAACTTCTTTCGAGCGCCGACTGATAGCAGAATCCATTACATGCCCCAAGAAGTTTTTCGGATACATCCGCAGTAGGAGGAAACATAGTGACGAGATTGCGTGTCTTAAGGATAGCCTCGGAAACTTATTAGTTGAAGGGCCACAGAAAGTGCGATTACTGTCTCAGTTTTTTCAAACGGTTTTTACGGAGGCGTCCCCAGGAGGCAATCAGCAGTTTGAAATGGACCGCGACAGCCGGGAACTTCAAATGCGCCAAGATATTGCCGTCATTGAAACCGTCGCCTTTTCCGTCGAAGGAGTAAGACGCGTCCTTAGTCAAATAAAACCTGATAAGTCTCCTGTACCCGACGGAATTCCCGGGCTGATACTTAAGGAACTATCAAGGGAGCTGTCAAAGCCTCTTTCAACTCTCTTTGAGCTGTCAATGAGAACAGGAATGCTGCCCTTCTGTGGAAGACAGCTAACCGCGTTCCATTGCATAAGGGAGGTAGCAGGATGACAGTAAGCAGCTTTAGGCCTAGTAGCTTAACTCGCCTCTCTTGCAAAACGATGAAAGCTCTACTAAAGAGTGCTATACAGCAATTTTGCGAAGAAAATAACATCTTGAAGGATTTTCAAAATGGCTTCCGGAGAGGACGTTCCTGCCTCTCAAATCTGCTAGCTTGTATGGAGATCTGGACCAGGGCTCTAGAAGAGGGTTTTGAGGTCGATGTCGTGTACATCGATTTCCGCAAAGCTTTCGATACTGTTCCGCACCAACGCTTCTTCACAAATTGAGCGCCATCGGCATCCGGGGAGATCTTCTGAACTGGATAAGGGCGTTTCTGGTTGGTCGGAAACAGCGTGTCTGTATTGGGGACGATTTGTCAGAATGGGTGAACGTGACCAGTGGTGTGCCGCAAGGTTCAGTTCTGGGACCATTGCTCTTCATCCTTACGTTAACGACAGCCTTCAGGAACTCGACTGCGGCAAAATAATGTTTGCAGATGATGTTAAGCTCTGGAAAGTCATTAAGGGTCCGAACGATCACAGATCCCTTCAAGAGAATCTGCACCGACTGCCTGCGTGGTCGAAGAAATGGCTTCTAGATTTCAATGTGGAGAAGTGTGCCGTCCTTCACCTGCGTCCAACCAACTCTCATTCAAATGAGAGCCTGAGGGCATATCACCTGAAAGATATAAGGCTCCCTGCAGAATCTGCACAGAAGGATCTCGGGGTTTGGATACAGAACAACCTGAAACCAACACTGCAGTGCCACAAGGCTGCAAAAAACGCCAAGGGAGTGCTGCATGCAATCAAAAGGACTTTCGTAAACTTTGACCAAGACCTTTTTGGGAGAGTTTACGGCACTTTTGATCGGCCCCACTTAGAATATGGCATAAAAGCATGGCGGCCATGGCTAGTAAAGGACCAAGCATGCCTTGAACGGGTACAACGGCGTGCAACAAAGCTGGTAAACGGTCTAAAAAGCCAATCCTACACAGACGGACTGAGTTGCCTTAAATTATTTCCTCTATGTTACAGGCAGCGAAGAGGTGATCTTATCCTCGTCTACAAGATAATACATGGCCTTCAGCATGGACTTAAATTTGGGTACATGTTTCAGTGGCATCTTTCACCCAATCTTCGTGGTCACTCGATGAAGTTACGGCCAACAATGTCCAGGCTGAATCTTCGTTCTGAATTTTTCACGCAGAGGGTAGTGGAGAAATGGAACGATCTCCCTCAGTCAGTCGTGGAGGCTACGTCTCTGCAACTCCTCAAGAAACGCTTGGATGATTATGTGTCCCCTGTTTTCCTCGACAGTCTAAATCTGAACTAATACCCAACTTCCCCGCAAATACTTTCTCTGAGACAATGCTACTCAAATGAACCAAGTACTGTTTTAATAGAGAATATTATTATTGTTCGTGTACAGTTATTTATAATGAGCTGACATGTAATCAATAGGGTCTTCAAAGGCTTTGCCTATTATCCTTACCAAATAAACTGAATAAACTGGATACCCTCACCTGGTTTAGCCCGCCAGTCGTGGCGGTTACCGGGGTGCGGCCGCTTGGCAGAGCCTAGCTTCGGGGAGGTGGCATACATGAGAGTTGGGTGTCAGCAAATGGACGCTAGGCGTAGTCCGCACCTGCAAGCAAGTGAACGACCTACTACGACCGTCACGTGAAACCACCACTGGACACCCCTACCACTGGAAGTTGCATTCACTTGATACACGCCCGTCTTTTTCAGCTGCTTATTCAGGTAGTTATAGTCACATATCTGAGTGACAAAAATAGACTATGCTATCCGACCCAAGCAGCTGTCAAAAAACGGGCAGCCAACAACCACCAAACGCTGAAATTGGTCAATTGGCAGCTAAGCCAAACCGTGTCCGAAACCAAAATTCCTCAGGTTCCACGAAAGGCAAAGTATTCGTAGACCGAAAAATTACTTGGCAAAAAAACCGATTTTCCTTATTGTGTATCTTGTTTTTTTCGAACTTTCGGTATTACCGTGCCTTGGAACTAAGTTGTTTTAAACTTGGAACAAACTTAAAACTCGTGTTCTGTCCACTAAGCAGACAGCCAAAATAAATGCGGTCAAGGTGTAGATTGAATGAAAGAATTAGTACATATTTAGAGGTGATGGGCAATGCCTCCGAAGACTTCATTGAAAACGCACATACATGCTACCAAATGTTGTCAGTAGCATATACAGCCTTACATAGTAATATTCTGATGGTGTGGGACTACAACACGGGCACTAGTTTCTTGAGGGCTATGGGCAGACTTCTAGATGATCCTTTCCATGTACACTTGAGATTATAAGAACAATAGCATACAGTCAACTCAAAATATAGTTATTTGCAAAGCTTACGGCAGCACTTAAAATTAAACGTAGAAAAGGCATCAGGAAATAGGGTTCATGGCTGACCGTAGATAGCCCTGCAGTAAGAATCGAGTTTTATCATAAATCGAGAGATGCAACTGCCTTTTGAATAGGGTCATGATGTCAGATGTCATTATTTCACTTGGGAGGGAGTTTTACAGTCGAACAACCCGCTGACTGAAAGAAAACCTTCATTTGTCTAGGCGTATACGTTCGCGTTTGACCTTGTACGAATGACCGTGCAGGTTACTCATGTTAATAAACTCGAAGAAATCTTGAGATATGAGTAAACAGTCGTGCCCGCAGATAATGTGGAATGTCCTCAGCAGGTCGCACCTCATTTATCTATAGGATAGAGACAACAAATTGAGCTGGACCAATCTTTCTGGGTATGACGGAGTCTTAAGACCGTCCCTCAGTTTTGTCGCCCGTAGTTGCATCTGCTTGATAACATTACTGTCCTTCTTCCTCCAGGCATCCATGCTGGCACCCCCTATTTCAATAACGGTCTAACGAACGTAAAAAATATCTGCACGAAGAGTTCGATAGAAAAGACTATGAAAATATGCCTTAG